TTGAATTGAATCGAAAAAATCCAGATTTCTTTAATATCCGAATTAACAAAAAACTCAAACCAAACAATTAGATCGACGGTTTGGTTTGGTTTGGTTTGGTTCAAATTTTCGGTTTTTTCTGCACCCCTATTTATTCTCTACCATTTCTCTTACCCCCGTGCATAACGGAATCATGTATGCCCTTTTTTTTAGATCCCAGTTTAACATATTTCATTTTAGTTTTAAGTATTTTTTAAAATATTTTTCTAGAAATTTCAGCAAATTTCTATTAATATTTTCATTGATGTTTACCTTATTAAATTACCAATAATGGGTAGTTAATGTAATTATAACCAACTTTAAATTTAACCTCGTCAACTTTCTAAAACTTTAGACTAATCCAAGTTCGTTATCAAATGAAAATGTGCAATTGAGGTTTGTGTCGTGTACCAATAAAAAACGCATTGATCTAAGGATCTAACCAATAAAAAACGCATAAACAGTAAACATTGATCTAAGGATCTCCTTTGTAGTCGTACAAACCTGCACACTCTTTCGTGCGACTAGTCATCTATGATCCATTTAAAATTAAAAAATAGTAAATACTCAATAAACAATCTTATATGCTTTCATCGAAGATCTCCTATTCAATGTTTTTAACTTAGATGTTCATCACATTCCTAGAGTTAGGGCAATTTCATGGTATAAAGTTATTAGTGCTCTATCAAGCTTATTAAATTCTAAGTCCTACACACTCCACTTCTAAGGGTGTACATCACATATCAAGAGTCTATCTAGGTGCACTTAGCTCATAAGGTTTATTTAGTCATCGTGCTTCCTGTACATAAGTCGGGGTCATTCATCTATCTTGAGCTTTAGTGTGGATGTAGCAAGTATGGAGGAGTCGCTCTCTATCGATAACCTCTCAAGTCTCTCTATAATTTCACGCAGGTCTGCTACTAGAAACTAGTAGGAATCTCCCTTAATGACGCCCAACATGCTTCTTATTCGTAAGTCATTCTAAATTGAATAGTACAAGGCAGGCACCCCACTAAGGACAATCGAAACTCCCCCAATAGTACTCTCTAGCCACGGGTCCAAAGTGAGTGACATCATAATCCTATATACCAAGTAGACTCTAACTTGTCGAGATAAGTTCACAAGCGCTCCAATTGTCCTTATGTGGTATTAGTCAACCTAAACACAATTAAATATGGACCTTTATCGTGGCTTAGCTAAGGATCACGAACTCAACATATAAATATTACCATACACATAACATTGATCCAAATGTAAGGCATGGATTGACGCTTTGACTTTGGATGACTCGGTGGTGTAAAAAGACGAGCAAATCTTTCGCGAAATTAAAACAAATAGAATTTAAAGCATAATATACACTATATTTATATTATATCAAAATAGTATTCATACATAAGTAGTTGAAACAAATAATAGTTAAAACAAAAAATAAGGAACAGGTACAAAATATTTAAAATAAAAAGGGATGAAGGACGACGAGCGAGGCTTGTCTATGGCATTTGCTTCAGAGTCCGCTCTCGACCTCGACCAACTCCTTATTTACCTGAAAAATATGGAAAACATGGAGTGAGTACAAAGACTCACTAAGTAGCCTAATTGTAGGCTCTTAATCGTGTCCTTGATATGCTAGGGCACCACACTCTTATTTTTCTTGTTCTAGTTCTTGTTACAAGTACTTAGGCCCTTTGGTTATGTTCTTGACTTGTGAGTTCTTAACATGATCTATCCGGAGAACCTTTGTCCTTGGATTTTAAGGTCTCAACCTTGGTTCTGATCCAAAGGCCTAAGTACTACTTGGATTCTAAGGTCTCAACGGTTCTGATCCAAGGGCCTTAGTAATACTATTTTGGTTTCTTGTCTTTAGAACTTGGATCTTGATCATTGTCCTAGTCTTTGATCGTTGTCTTGTTTTTTGTTACTTTCTATGTTCTTGTTCTTGTTTTTGGTTCATTGTCCAAGACACTCCTCTAGGATTTACGGTACTACTCATGAACCTGACAACCTGTGTTCAAGGATTCATACGTTCCAAGCGACACAGTTTGAAACAACGTCCAAGACTTCATGTGTTCCAAGCAATGTAGTTTGAACTCGCATCTAAGGCATGCCCTGCGATACAGTCTGAAAAATCTATGCCCAAGACTTCATGCGTTCCAAGCCGCATAGCATCCAAGACTTCTTACATTCCAAGCGATGTATTTTGATCCTGCATCCAGGGTTTGCCCTGTGATACAACCTGGATACCTAGTTTGAAAACCTTCATATGTTCCAAGCGACATAGTTTGAATACTTACGTTTAAGGCTTTGTATGTTTCAAGTAGCGTAGTCTGAAAACCTGCATCCATGGCTTGCCCTGTGATGCAATCTGAATACCTATGCCCAAGGCTTCATACGTTCCAAGCGGCATAGTTTGAATACCTACGCTCAAAGCTTCATACGTTCCAAGCAACTAGTCCTTAGTTCTCCATCTTCAACACTATATAATTTCTGGAAGCATAAGTCGTATTATGCATACTTAAGCTCTACATAACTTAGTAACATACCTGAGTCATTGAGAATGACATGAAGTCATAATGAGTTCTTTAGATAATTCTAGAAGATTCTTGAGTTTTGGAAAGAATTACTTGAGGTAATCCCCTGAAACGTTTTTTTGGCCCTAACTTAGCTTAGGTTTAAAAACTTGCTCTAATCAATTTAGAATCTCGAACTATATCCTTAGGAATAGACCTTGTAAGAAGTAAGAAGTCATTTGGGGATGTTTAGATCTTGAAATACCTTAAAAGGTCTTTAGAGGCATTTTGATCATTTTACCACCTAATTCTTGGTTTCGCCTCATGTTCCAATAGCTTTTAAACTTCATCATGTCATCAATCATCATAAGATAGGACGTACTACAAAATTTCATAGCATTTTGAGATCATTTAGATCGAAGGTAAGTTACCTTAGGGGCATTATGGTTATTTTCCATCCTTATTTGGTTTAGCTATTAACTTTGTCCAATGCCCACCAAATTTCATATATAATCTTAACCTGTTATAGTATGCTTCGCATTAAAATTTAATGGGTAGCAAAGTTCATTTAGTGGGTCATTTTAACGTTACTTTAAGTCTCGAGAAATTCAATCGATTCAAGGCCTTAACTCACGGTTTTTCGTGTCTTCTTTCTATTCCCTTAATTCATACTTGACATAGGGTATATATTGAAATCCAAGCGACTCCTACAAGTATTTCTTAAGAAAAGCCCAAAATGCTTACTTACCTCGTCGTTGACGTTCGGGACCTTCAGTATTCAAATTACTTAATTTTCTTTCACGAATTCCTTAGAGTGTCTAGTTTCTATAACCATAAAGTTTTTCATGAGAAATTCAACGACCATGTCATCGTCTTCTTCCTCTGGAAGGAAGAAGATGGCCGCGACCAACATCGCCGCCGCTTGAAAACAGTTCTCCATAGCTCCATTCACAATGTTTCTTCCCTCGATTTCATCATGAAATTTCATGGTGTTGCAAGAAAGAACTAGGGATTGATTTCATATTTTCTCGTGGATTGCAGCCTAAATTATTCTTGTAACACCCCTAATTTTCTTACCCTAAATTAGTGACGTCACTACATACATGCTTTGAAGACATACACAAACATTCATATTAAATAGTTTTAAAATAAGAAGAAAAAAAAAACATAATTTTTTAACTTAAAACAAAATAGATTTAATTTGAAAGGTTAAAATTAATATTTAATATATTAGATATATTAAATAAATTAAAAAATATATTTAATTTAAAGTGTTGAAATTAATATTTAATATTTATTAATTTGTCGTATAATATTTATTCACTCAACACTACTCTTCAATTTACATGATTTTTTTTAAAAGAAAAATAAAAGTAATGGTTAAATTAATGTTGAATTTATTTAAAAGAGTTTGAACATTAAAACTTCACCAACACAAATAAAAACATTAAAATTCATGAAATTAAGTTCAAAAACTAAACTTAGAATATTAAAAATTTAAAACCAAAATGGAATAAATCCAAATCTTTTAATTTGAGTTAATTAAAAGTACATCCTAAAATAATTTTGCAATGATTAATTTGAGTTAATCCAAATCTCTTGCATTTAAATTTTAATTTTATGATATAAAAAATGAAATTTGAAACGGTGAAATTAAATATTTTGATTGATCTAACAAATATTTTAGAATATCTTATAAAAATAATTTTAATAATTTAAAAATTACTCCCAAATATGCGGAAGAATAATTTTGGAGATTTTAGCTTCGATTATGCAACTGGCATATCTAATTAAACCAATTTAAAAAGAAATAAATAAGGGGCAATAATAACGCACGCCTCCCACGACGACAAAACATTCATGTTCTTACAATTAATAATTAAAAAACAAAACTTATAATAATACTAATTATTAATGTTATAATAATAATAATCCCAAAAAAAAAAAAAGAGAGAGAGACAAAATAAAATTGTCGTTGTTCTATTTCTGATTCTCTGTGCTAATTTCAGCCCTCCAAACTCCATTGATACTCATCTTGTTGCACCTTCTCAACTGGGTCTCTGTTCTTCCTTTTTGCTTCCATCAGGGACCCCATTACAGTCCCTTTTGTAAATCTCAACTGGGTCTCTGTTCTTCCTTTTTGCTTCCATCAGGGACCCCATTACAGTCCCTTTTGTAAAATCAAACCTCTCTTTTACTCTGATTAAAGTCAATAGACATTGATTTTCTTCCATTTTTTTATGGAATTGTTGCTCTGTTTCTGTTCAACATCTTTCCCCTTTCTTAAACTTCCTCATATTCCTTCCTCTCCCTCTCAACATTCATGAAATTCACCTTCCCAAACCCAAATAGATTTAGAACTTAAACAAAATTAGAATCGCCATTTTGTGTTCTTTCTTGATCGCATGCCCCACGATTTTCGAGCAAAATGATGAAGGCCCTAGCTTCTGTAATCTCTCTGACCTCTTTCGCATGCCCCACGATTTTCGAGCAAAATGATGAAGGCCCTAGCTTCTGTAATCTCTCTGACCTCTTTCTGTGCTAGTTTTAGTGTTTATTCTGGTGTAACCCATTTGGATTATGTGTGTTTATGTTGCTCTCATTTGATGTTTCTTTTTTTCTTGTGTGTGTTCTGTGGAGGTTTATGATCGTGAGGCTTTTCTTTTGAACTTTGAAATTGTATTTTCTGGGTTGCGATTATTTGCCACAAACAGAGTGAAATTGACTGTTATATTCATTTTTCAGAATAGCTTTGTTACTGTTTTGATCTTTCAAATGGGTCCTTGTTGGTTTGGTCTCTTTGATTCTGATATCAGTTCATTAAGTTTCAGAATATTATACTACCAGAGTCAAAGAATAGATTGCGCCTCTGTACTTTCTTCGTCGCCGTTATCCTTGGTGCAGGAGTCTATTTCATTGCAAGTGAATTCATTACAAAGTACTTTCTTCGTCGCCGTTATCCTTGGTGCAGGAGTCTATTTCATTGCAAGTGAATTCATTACAAAGGTAGAAATTGAAGCATATCTTATCAAAGTTCTTATAGCTTCCTGTTCTATGGTTATTACCGTTTGATGATGAAAGTCCCACGTTGGCTAATTTAGGGAATGATCATGAGTTTATAATCAAAGAATACTCTCTCCCCATTGGTGTGAGGCCTTTTGGGGAAACCCAAAGCAAAGCCATGAGAGCTTATGCTCAAAGTGGACAATATCATATCATTGTGGATAGTCGTGTTCATCTAAAAATAACAATATCTTGGAGGTTAATGGGTTCGTGTTGGCCTTTGATTTCTTGCTGGTTAATTAAATGTTCGAATTAAGGCCAGTTTCATTCAAACCTCACAACCCTTACAAGGAAGCTTATGATTTTTATGACTTGTTCAACTCCTTCCACTTGATAGCATGAACTTCTAGCCTTTCTCTCGTTAGTTCATCGATGAAATTGTTTCTTATAAAGAAAATTTAAAGACTGAAATGAGCCATTGATGGATATTTGACAAACTTGCAGGAAATCTTTAGATGGGAGGTGTTTTATTCCACTCGAAATGTAATATCCAGCAGGTGCAAGGTTCGTCTAGTCTAACCATGTGTTGTTTTATGGTTTCTCATTGAGTTTTGTTCGTGTTTGTTTGATACGTTTTCTTAATCTCCTTTCTATTGTGTCGTCTTATGTAGAATCAATGCAGGCTTCCCGGGAGTGAGTTTTTGCCGGAAGGAATCGTTAGTAAAACATCTAACTTTGAATTGCAGCCTCTATGGGGGTCGACTTTAAACAATGTAAGTAATGTGAAGATCGAAATGAGCTTTTCTTATTCGATATCTGATTTATTATCAGAAGAATCGAAATTAAAAATCTCAGTTTCCATTATTTTTCAGTGATAAATAATCCAACTTGGTTATTGTTTGAGGAGAAAGCTGATGGTCTATTATGCATCGTCCTTAACGAGTGTCAATAATATGTGTGCTAGAAAACGCCGAAGGATTCGAAGAACTTGTTATCTATGGCTGTTGGAATCAAACAGAGACACGTAGTGTCAAAAATTGTTGAAAAGGTTAGGATTTGATCACCTTATCCTTTACTACATTCTTTTTAGTGATTCGATTGTTTGTTATTACGCAATTTTTCGTTTGCAGTTCCCTCGAGATGATTTTGATGTGATGCTTTTTCATTATGATGGTGTTGTGGATGAATGGAGGGATTTTTCATCGAGATGATTTTGATGTGATGCTTTTTCATTATGATGGTGTTGTGGATGAATGGAGGGATTTTTCATGGAGTTCTCGTGCAGTACACGTCTCGTCTCTGAATCAAACTAAATGGTAGTGTTTATTCAAATATATTAGCTGTCTATTTTACCCGTTAAATTGGAGATATACTTGGAATTAAACGGTGTCATGGCGTATATATTAGCTGTCTATTTTACCCGTTAAATTGGAGATATACTTGGAATTAAACGGTGTCATGGCGTAGGTGGTTTGCAAAGCGATTCTTGCATCCAGATATAGTTTCGGAGTATAATTACATATTTCTTTGGGACGAGGACCTCGGTGTTGAAAATTTTGACCCAAAACGGTAGGTGTGGTTTACTTTTCGTTATTGCGAAATTCACGGTAATCTCTTTCCAATGTTTGATATTTGAATTTGATATCCACATCTATGTGTTGATGTCTTTTCTTCGTCTAAAACTATTTCAGATACATATCAATCCTTAAGGAGGAGGGGCTTGAGATATCACAACCAGCTCTTGATCCGGTTAAGTCCAAGGTGCACCAGGCTCTTACTGCACGTAAAACTGGCTCGAAAGTTCACAGGTCAGTTTTACACCAGCTCGAAAGTTCGAAAGTTCACAGCTCTTGATCCGGTAATGTTGACCAATTTTCTTAATTGTTTTTAAAACAGAAGGTTTTACAACTCCAAAGGCTCTGCACGGTGTGATGCTAATAGCACGGGTCCTCCATGCACGGGGTAAAAATTTACTGCAACAAAATAGGTTTTTCAAAATTTTCTACTGGTGTTACCTCAGATAAATATTTCAAAATTTCATGTAGATGGGTAGAAATGATGGCTCCTGTGTTCTCAAGAGCAGCATGGAGATGCACGTGGTATATGATTCAGGTAAATCAATAGGAATCCTATTGGAACGATATCATTTTTCTCGTGAACGAGTTCAAAACGTCCTGCTTGAACGTCACTACTAATATTCAAAAGCTTAAACCTATTTTTGTTTTTCCCTTTGCTTTACAGAATGACTTGATCCATGCATGGGGCTTGGACAGACAACTTGGCTATTGTGCACAAGTAATTTCCACACTTTATCATTACTTTTACTACGCTTGGAAGCTACCGTTTTCTTGTAGCGTTTGTGAATATGGATTCTCTTCTAGGGTGACAGAACACAGAAAGTCGGTGTCGTCGATGCAGAATACATAGTTCATTTAGGTCTGCCTACGCTCGGTGCCTCCAACCGCAATGTGGTATGCCATGCTTGTTCTGATGCAATCTCTTCAAACTTTCATTACCAATTTTCACTAAGATGGCATTAGATTATCCAAAACGACGCCAAACGACCCTCACATTTATGCAGCTGAATGCCGATGCTCCAGCTCGTTTGCAGAAAAAAGAATTGTCAAACGACCCTCACATTTATGCAGCTGAATGCCGATGCTCCAGCTCGTTTGCAGAAAAAAGAATTGTCAAACTTCAACGAATCGGTTTGTGTGCTGAAAATATTTCGTCAACTTTTATGTTCTTTATTCTTCAGCTAAGTGATTAACCAAGAATCACTTGAACTTATGTCAAACTCCCCTCAAGCCTTTCCATTTTTTGCAGGAACCCAAAGTTGATAATAGAGTTAAAGTAAGTCATGGACAATCCATCCAAGTAGTTTATGTTTTTTTTTGGCTTGATGATTAAATTTGATTCATTGGAGGTTTCCATTGTATCATGTGTAGGTGAGGATTCAATCTTCATTAGAAATGCAGATTTTCAAAGAACGATGGACGAACGCTGCAAAGGAGGATAGATGTTGGATTGACCCGTATCGATAATTACCGACGTTCACGAATGCGATTACAATTGTTTTATATTCATTTTTATGAAATAAAACTGGGAAATGAAGGTGTTCTAGTCTTCATTAACAGAGCGCAGCGTACATCTTATACCCAACAGATTCAAATCACCACAACGAGTCTCTTCATTTTTTTCTTACTGTATAAAAGTTCACGTCTTGTTCTTGTCTTTTTTTTTTTTTTTTCGGGTTGTAAATACATTATAGTTTTGAAAATGTGAGGTGTTTGTAAAATTTTAAATTTAAGTAGCATTTTGTTGGTTGTAATTTAAGTTTTAATCTATTTTCGTCTACGTATTTGAATGTGAATGTGAATGTGATCGATCTTGATATCTAATATTCCAAAGCCATTGAATCAAAATAACACTATTTGGTTGTATGGTATAATCAGTAGGTTGTTTTAATAGCCAACGCAACAAGAAAATCTCTATAATCTTCACAAAAAATACTCTCATGTATTGCTCCTCTTAATTGAATCCCATATTTCCCTTTAAAAGCCCTTTGAATTTCATCCAAATCAACCTCAGCTCTGCTCACCAATACTCTCCTCAATGCTCCATTATCATTTTCTTCACCCTTTATGCTTTTGTAAACCACCTGATTCATTCAACCATATTCAAATACAAATCTTTTCAAAATAAAATGATTATTGTGTGTATACCTTGGCGTACATTCAACCATATTCAAATACAAATCTTTTCAAAATAAAATGATTATTGTGTGTATACCTTGGCGTAATACTTTGGAGGATTACATATACACTTGACGATGGTACGCAGGACGTTCTCGAATTCTCCGCAATTTCGTAACTTGAGAGCCTGCAAGAGTATAGCTCAAACGATATGATATGCGAAAATAGTTGATTACGTAAAATTTTTTAATACCTTGGTGAAGTTATGTCCAAATATGTGTTGGTAGGAAAATAGTTGATTACGTAAAATTTTTTAATACCTTGGTGAAGTTATGTCCAAATATGTGTTGGTAGCATGAAAAAGTAAGCTTTAGCTGTGGAATGCTTCTTTTAGTGAGCATTTCAAGAACAGCTTCTTCTTCTATGGCTGCTAAACTGTCCTTTACTGTTTCATACAGCCTTCTAGCATCACACTTTGCAATATGTTGGCTAACATCTGCGTTATGGGCTTTGTGTGAGGCAGCCAATGCTACAAGAATCTGTTGCAAATTTATGTCAATTTTGTATACACACGAAAAAAAAAATTCGAACTTGTGCTACAAGAATCTGTTGCAAATTTATGTCAATTTTGTATACACACGAAAAAAAAAATTCGAACTTGTAATGGCTTAGGCTCACCGTTAGCCGATATTATCCTCTTTGAGCTTTTCCAACCAAAGAGGAGAACGAAAGGGAAAGCCTAAAGAAGACGATATCTATTGGCGGTGAGCCTGAGCTAACTTTACCTTTTGGTATGAGTGGGGAGGGTCTATGTTGATGATATCTTGTTCCAATTTGTTTTGCTAACTTTACCTTTTGGTATGAGTGGGGAGGGTCTATGTTGATGATATCTTGTTCCAATTTGTTTTGATATCTTGCTTGATAAGATTGTTTAATGAGAAAGATTTGACTTGATTTTCTCCCCACAAATATTTCAATAAGAGCCTTGTAATTAGTGTCTCCTTGTTCGAGTGCTTCTTGATTTTCTCCCCACAAATATTTCAATAAGAGCCTTGTAATTAGTGTCTCCTTGTTCGAGTGCTTCCCGTGCGAGAACCGCGTCGCGTTCATGAGGATCAAGCATCCACAACGACAAAGCTTGAGGTACTAACTCTTTCACATTGGTTGTCCCTAGTCTTTCCACCAACTCTTCCCCATAGATTGCCTTGTAAATCTTCCTCATTTGCTGTCTTTCCATCAGGTTTCGAGTGGCGAGAACTCGAACGAGATTATTGCTTCTACGATCCCAGGAATCGTGAATTTCAATACAATCTTTTTCGAGATCGGTGTTGATCGACATATTTCGCAGTTGGATAGCGAAAGAGAGGCATTGAGTGGCATATATAGGGAAGAGAAGCAAAGGGAAAGTGAGTTGGTTTCTTATGTAAAGAGAGGCATTGAGTGGCATATATAGGGAAGAGAAGCAAAGGGAAAGTGAGTTGGTTTCTTATGTGTACCATTGGATTATGAGTGTGTTTGAAAGAAGAAAAGAAGGAAGTTTCTGCGCCTTTTCTTATGTCTTTTGAAGAAAGCAGTGATGTTAAAAGTTTGTGGCATGTGAGTGAGAGAGCTTTGTTTTGTAGCTAATGGTTGTTGGGTTTCCCAGTAGATACTCAGTATTCAACCCTTTTTTCACATCTTTTCTTCAACTCTCTCCTACTTTTTCCACCATTTCCCCTTTCTTCTCATTTTACTTGCCACTCTTTCTTTTCTTCGACTATTAATTTTGTATTTAATAGATCTGTATTATAGAAATGAGATTTAAATTTATGAACTCTAAACTTTCGATTGATAGCTAATATATTCGAAAATATTTGGACATATAGCGTTATAAAGTTTTAGATTAATGGATTAAGAGTAAGTCTCTTGAACGTGTTTCAATGACATAAAACTTCTTCAACAAGATCTGATGCTTCTTCCTAGCTTTTACTTCATATGGTTTGAAATCTTTTTTTTTTTTTTTTTTTTTTACTATAACTGAACCTAAGATCAAGGCCTATGAGAGTCTCTTAAAATTCTCAATTTTCCCTAGAGAAGAAAGTATTATTTCTTGAGAGTCATATATTTAAATATGTAATAAATTAAGTATCTTAATTAAATTATTTTTAAATATCATAAAATATCTCAATATAAATAATAAAAACTTGCAATAAAAGAGATAAACCATACAAGCATGCAGGTGTTTTTACTATTAACAAAATGATACAAGTTTGAAGAAAGCGACATTAAAATAAAATTTAAAAGTAACATTCGATCTAGGGGTCCTTCCTACAACTATATAGCTCTATTCGCTCCCGTTAATGAATTCTTACTATCGATCGATCAAACAAGTATAAAAATATTCAATAAGTAGTTGACTTAGCCAATTCCATGACTTGAGTTCTTTCTAGCCCTGTGAGGTAAGTCACCCATAGAGATTTATTGCGGTTTTCTACGTGCACCTAGCCTCCCAATTCCTACTCTCCATGGTCCATATAGCCATCACACTTCCTCCACATAAGTTGAAATCTCCTCTTTATCTCTGGCTTTAGGGTGAGTCTAACATGTATAGAGGAGTCTCTACTTGTTACAAGTAACTTCAAAGTCTCCCTCTATAACTTCATACATGTCAACTTCAAAGCCAAAAGTTCCATAGATTCCTAACAAGCTCCTCATTCTCATGTCATTCTAGGCTTTTAGATGGTGCAAGATAGACTCTCCACTAAACACAACCAGAACTCCCTTAGTAGTACCCTCTAATGTACCACATTCCCTAAGTGGGTGGCTTCATATTCCTATATGCTAAGCAGATTCTCACTAGTGATGCGAGTTTACGGTTAGGGGTTGCAATCTAGTTATCCTTACATAGTACTAGAGAGTAAGGTGCAAAATCTTCTTAGCAATAGGTCGATGGCTTTAGCATGATGCAATCTTTCCTTTGGTTCACTTCAATATCGAGGTAGTACGTGAGTAACCCAAGATCAACCATCTCAAATTCTTTCATCATTTGTTGCTTGAACTCTTTAATGCCTTCCACGCATATACTAATGATGATCATGTCATCAATGTACACGCCAACTATAAGTGTTTCAACTCCATTATTTCTTGTATATATTGCTTGTTCTTGCAAGCACTTAATGAAACTTAAACTCTTTAATAACTTGTACACTTTGGGCAACATACACTTCTTCTTGGAGGTCACCAATTGGGGACAATGATTTGACGTTCAAGTGGTGGACCTCCCACTGGTGTTGAGTTGTGAGGGCGATAATCAACCAAACATTGTCGAGTCTAGCAAAAAGCACAAAGAACTCCTTATTGTTGCACATATCCCTTTGCCATGAGTGTTGTTTTGTGCTTGATAACATTTTTATCACTATTTTTCTTCTTAATGACTTCAAGCTCCTTTTGCATGGCCTCCTACCATGTCGTCTCAATAGCTACCTCACGGTAGGTTATCAACTCCTCGATCGTGCACAACACTAATTTGTGGAGATCTAATTCTTCTTCATATGTATCTACATAAATTTCAGAGATAAAACAAAAATTCTTTGGTTCACCATCTTTGGATCCTCCTATGCTTTCACTTGAGGAATAAATTAATTAACTCTACTTTGCTGCCTTCTCCCATCATTTGACCAAGCACTCTCGCAACTATGTTATTGATGCCCAGTATTGCTTCCTCAACGCGCCTTAGGCTTCTTCCTCATTTTTGTTAGCTAACTCGTAACAAATGCCTTACACACAACTTTCTTCATGTGCTAAGCACTCTTGCACAAAACCCAATCTTACATACTCCTAGTCAACTCATCTCGAGCTTGTTGTAATTACTCACAAGTGTGATCTTTGTGTCATGCCACTTGTAGCTTTTCTTCAACTCCTTACCCCATCCTAGTGTCAAACTAGAGTCTACTTAACTTATTCATGTCTTTAAGGGAGAAATCTTTGGCATAACATCATGAGGTAGCCCTAAGATAATGCATACTTGTAACATACCCTAACTTCAAGACATGTTTAGAATTCATGGCCCTAAAGTAAGCATATATATCTAATTGTGACAACACATCACACTCATGAGCATAATGTCATACATACCATAACATAGCTGTTGGATTCATGGAGTCCTCATGAATTATTATAAGGAAGGCATTAGAGTACCATAAATTCAACCATGAGTTCATTAAATACAAATTAAAATGCATTTAATGCATCTTCATCTTGAAGTTCAACATTGCTCAATATGTGGGAATGATTCCACATCTTTTAGAATTCTCTTTGACGAGTTCATCATAGCTTGAATATAAGTGACTAAAACTCGTTGTAACTTCTTATCTCTCGTCCTTGTAATTGGACCTTGAGATATGAAAATTATTTGGTCTTGGTTCATATCATAAGTAGTCAAGGTAGAAATTTCTTAAGAAATACTTATAGGAATCACTTGGTATTGAACAACAACCTTAAGTTAAGAACGAATGGAGTATGGAAAAAATAAATCAAGAAATGTGAGCTAAAAACCTCAACCAAGCATTTTTCTTGAGAATTAAATAACATTAAAATAACCCAATATATGAACAATGGTGTTCATTAAATTTTAGTTCTAGGAAAAATATGGCATGTTAAAGATATATATGAAATTTTGTGGTCATTG